GGGGGTGGTTGGATGGGAAGCCCTGTTATAGATCGTGACCCTGGAGGTTTCAGAGCAAAGAGGGCAAGTGTGTGTTGATCATGTGTGCTCATCCCCGCCGCCCCCTCGGCAAAAAGGGACCCTTTTGAAAATAGGCCATTTCCGAGTTGCTTTTTGCCTCTGTTTCAAAACGAGTCCTCGCGCTAAACTTTTCTTATGAAAATGAGTTTGACTTGCATGAAAATGAAACACGAAGACGCGCATTTATCCACACCCGCCTCCCCATACATTGTACAAGCAGCAGCGTAGTTGGTTCATCTTTTTCATACATAAGTCGAGAGTGCATATTTGAAAATCCCCCTTCGATTTTTGGGCCACGGAGAAAAATGGCGCCGTTTTTTCCATGTAAGCTCATGTAGGAAGGAGAAACACTTTTTCTTCTTTGTATGAAGTGACAAACTCGCGATTGTACAAAGGAAAGAAACGTGAGAAAACCAACCACAGTCGAACCTCCCGTGAGCGACCACCGAAAATGTCAATCCTGGTCGCTTACGAGAGGATCACATTGGGTCAAAATTTTGCTTCATTGGCATCTGGTAACTGCAGAGAGTTACCGCATGTTTGAAATGTTACACATTCATATGAAAAGTCAATTTTGAGAAAAAAATCCGGTACCTCCCATTGAGAAATTTCCGTCTCTTGAACTATTTAGGAATGCGATCATGTCAAACGCCTTATTATCCAATCTCCGCTCTATTATCTGTCAAGTGGTTGCTCACGAACGTTAAAAACAAAAGAAATTTTCAAACTTTTAGCTCTAAAGGAATGGTCGCGGCCACTTACAAAAGGTTCCAAATATAGTGATTTGACTTGGAAACTTTTGGTATTTTGGAAAACTGGTCGCTTAGGAGAGGGGGTCGCAACCGGAGGTTGCACTGTAGACGTTTGTAGTAAGAATATCGACCCAATATTGGGACCTTGTGCAACGCAAAGAACTTGATCTCATCAAAAACAAAACAAAACACGAACATACAAAGAAGAAAATTTATTTGCACACAAGGTAAATGTACAAAACGTGGAAACTTACCCAATCGTTTGTACAGCGTCTCTATTTTACAAACCTCATTATGTCCAAATAACTCGAGTATATTTGTTTTACTAGTGGTGGGACATTCATAAACCACGTTCTAACCGAACTTTCGTTCACCGTTCTTCTCTTCTATGTTAATATTCTACGAAATTAAAGCTACCTCTTCCCGTTTTTAAACACCCTCGAAGTTGTTCTAAATATGACGTAATAAAGTCTCAATTTACTTCCAGCAATGGAACCAGAAGTTGTTGTCGCGTGACAGAGTACGATCGCCCGGATCACGTAAGCCTCTTAAACACACGTCGTTGTGGTTCGTCACGCAATAAGGGAAAATTGCGTGGCGAGGTTAAAACTTCTGAAACCAGAAAACGCACAAGGAAAGCTTATTGCATTTTCTTTTAGGCTGGATATCCCTTTAGTTTTTCTCATTAATAGTACCCCATTGAGGACCAATGTACCTCACCACCCCTTCCTTCGTTTGCCTGTCTTACAACGCTTGAGAGAAGCGCTGTGTTGCATCATTTATAATTACCTCTCCAAGCGTTGCCAGACAACCCAACTACAACTGCAAAAGACACATTTGGAGATGGTCCTCACTGTCAAAAAGCAAACTCTTTCATAGCTTTTCTTATAAAATCCTGGCGTCATAAATCCCCTTGAAAAATTTAATCAAAATGACACACACTATGGAGAGCGAGACTCAAGGAGAGCACTCAAAATTCAGGTTACGCCACATTAGTCTGTTACAAGATCTGGTTACAGTACACAGTTGTGAAGGACAATCAAGGAAGACTAAACACTGCAAAGCGATACCCCTCTTAAAATAAAACCCGACTTGTATTCCTATCAAAATGCTGTTTTATTTAGGTGCTTAAAAAAATTATTCCAAATAAAAATTGACTGCCTGATCCAGACTACACTTATCAACCATTATCTTCTTTCCCCATATCGTTTACCCTGTTTCAATCCAAGCGACATCCTGTTTTGCTGCACATACCTTCTTAGAGTGTAGATGCTGTATCTTAAAAATTTGATTCAATAGAATGTCTGAATCTCTAAATGTCTAAATTTAAAGAGACTGACTCTAACACTCCAAGTTCATATTTTTAATTCAACTAATATAGAGATGACTGCCTTATTATTAAAAAACCCTCACTTTTGCTAACTAATCCTTGTTGATTTACATTAAATATTTAGTTTTACTATGCTACCAGTTTCAACACAAACCAGGTGCGATATTACTCAAGTTTTCCTGATCACATACTCCACAGTAACTAATTACTCAATAATTAGAAGTTGCATGACAAAAACTCTTTTACTATTCTCAGTGCCAAACACTAAAAAAGCCCTTAACCATGCAAAGAAAGAGCTTGTAGTGCTGAATTACCTGTCTTGTTTCTAAAATTAATTCCATATTTTACACTGCATACACAGACTGGGTTCATAGACACTAATCTATGATATTTATATATGGGCTTCTACCCTTGTAATGACTTGTTTTTCTATCATGATAAACTCAATCGGTTTGTAGGAAGAACTTCAAGTGAACAGTGTTATCTGTCTTCACAACCTCAAACTATACCTTGCAAGTGAAATAGGCCATTTTCACTATATTAAAATTTTAACTTGTCTCCGAGGCTGGGGAAATAAAGCAAAACAAATCAATTGAGATTGAGGGATGAATAATTAATTTCTTTTGTTTTATTCCCCAAGCCTCGGAGCAATGTTGGAATCTTAATATATCGAAAATGGCCTATTCAACTCCCAAAATTTTAAACTGATGACTATGAGATATGCGTAGAATCTCCAATTGTTTGATATTTGCACTTGAAAATTGGGCAACATCCAATTGAACTCTGCTGTGCTACATTACCATTACAGATTTTTTTTATCTCTAACCCGGAGGACAATAAATCTATCTATCCATCCTGTTTAATCCAGAAGGTGCAATTTTAGACTACTGAGATGATTACATTTTACTAACACCACACACTAAGATCTAATAAAAAATTGAGTTACTAAAATTCAAAAGACTTAAAACTGTTACTATTGTTTGTCTACATCTCAATGTCTAGGGTCACAGCTTTTCTAGTCTTCATACTCTAGACACTCACAGGAAACTGAATAAGATTCCATGGCTGCGAATGTCTGTCTACTCTGCCATTTCAACTGTGTGTACTTCACTTGCTGAACTGTCTGTTACTCACTGCTACAATACCTGCATTTAAAGTACACAATGTTAGTGACTGAAAAACAATAGCAACAGACACAGACACAACAACAACAACAGCAACAACAACAACAACAACAACAACAACAACAACAACAACAACAGAACTCTCTTTTGCCTTGACACTCCTATTATTGACCCACCGGAGTGTTAATTTGCAATACATAATCAGGGCTCAAAAAAAGTGCTGTCCAGTCATCCAGGACAAGTAAATTTTTCTACCGGGCGCAGAACTTTTCATTCTCCCTTGCCCAATAGGCAAGGGCCCAGGCAAGTCGTCTGCCAACGACATGAAAATAAAAAGTAAACTAAGACTTGCCCAGGGCAAGCAAAATTTGAGAGCTGCTTGTCCAAAGGGCAAGCTGGAATTCAAGTTATTTTCGAGCCCTGATAATTGAAAGTAAAAATGAGCTGCATATTTGAGACTGTTTCAGGGAAACAAGACTTCACAGTAAAATGTGAAAGAGCAGAAAAGCAACAGTACCAAAAGCAACACAACAGAGCAAACAGAAATGACCCAAATTGTTTAAAAATATCCTGTTACCACAGAAACTGACTTAACATTGATATCTAAAATTCATTTAAATACTTACTGTACCGACAGTTAGCATCCTGGGATAAATCATCCAAATTGTTAGTAAAAACAAATATTATCTTATGATTATGATAAAGAATACTTTAATTGTGAAAAGACCTTCAAGGGGTCATTCTCTGATTTTCAACATTGTATTTTATAATGTTGTGGATCATTCCTTTTCAGAAAGGTTTGGGATAGAAGGTTAGTATATAACTGCATGTTGGGGCAGAAATCAGCCAAATTTATTCTGAGATTCTTCTTATTACAATGTTGTCATAAATAAGGCTGGAAAATCAGAGGGCAGCTTATCAAGTTATTCCTGGTCCCCTGAATCCTAATGTAAACAGTGCTTAGCCCAATGAATGAGGTTAAGTTACTGACATCAACTTTACATTCCATTAATACTACTCTGGCTCATAGCACCAGATTTATTCCATGTCATCTGGATTGGCAGTGAACACCTCAATCACTTTACCCTGATATCTATTAACTGAATGTTAATGTCACTTACAACACAACACTGTCTTTTAGTAGCTTTAATTATGTGAATAAAACAAACCATCAGTAGTGTTACTTCTAAAACTACTTTTGGTATTCATTCATCATCCACGATTTGTTATATGGTTACAAATCCAAGTGTGTTCTGAAGACTTTGTAAAATTTATGCCAGATTTACCAGTTCTTTAAAAAAGCTGATGAAAATGAGTTAAAAAATAGTAATACTATTTTAAAGGTATATGTGTACATACGAATTTGCAAGTACAAAAATTAGAAACTTTAATCACACATATCAGACATATCAGCCTACCTTAGTAGGGCCTATACCCTCTGTTGCTCTTGTCGCCTGCAGAAATATTGCGGCTGTTCAAACGGCTGGTTGGACCATAATTTGAACTCATCTGACTGTAGTTACCAATCTGATAATCACCAGAGCCTTCTCCACCCCCTCCACCTGACGCTCCACCAGCTGCAGCAGCAAACTGACTCCAGTCACCCATAGGTGGGAAGCCTCCAAACCCTCCTGCAAATCCAGGATAGCCACCATAGGGGGCAGCCATTGGATTGCTTAAACCTTCATATGCACCGCCAGAGCTGCCAGTACTACTTGCACCAGGAAGCACTGAAGGAGGATTACGCTCAACAGCGGTAGCACCCTTCATGTCTCCCATTCCGTAACCTGGAAGCTCACTATAACTATCTTTGTCATAACCACTGGAGTTATTATGGGAAAGACCACGCCCAGAAGGAGGACCTCTGCCATAACCACCACCTCCTGCGGCACCATATCCACTTGCTCCTCCAGAACTACCACTGCCGCTACCTCCACCACTACCTCCTCCACCAAATCCACCAGGGCCAAACCCTCCAAAGCCAAAGAAACCAGGACCAAACCCACCAAAACCCATGCCATTGAACCCAAAACCGGGACCAAAGTTGCCCATTCCTCCTGGGCCAAATCCAGCAAAAGCCGCTGGGTTGAACCCACCTGCCATGAGTGCAGCTGCTGCTGCTGGATTGTTGAAGTTACCACCTCCAAAGCCACCCATACCACCGGCACCAGCCATACCACCCCCTCCAAAACCACTGCTGCCACTGCCACCGCCAAAGTTTCCTGAAAGAATATTGAGTATGCTCTAATTAATTTCCTCTAGCAATTAATTTCTTAAATACTTGTAGGATAACAACAAGTTGGGGTCAGTGGATATTGTTTAGGCCAAAGGACCAGCAACACTGGAGAGACGTCGTTGTTGGAAACTGTGCGCCATGATGACAATGCAAAAACAAATACAAGCGGGTTCATTTTTAGAACCAACTAAGTTGCACTGTACAATGGACCCTTGATTTAACGAAGGGCCAAGGGACTGGCAAAATTTGTTCGCTGTAACAAGATTTTGTTGTAACAAGGTTCTCTTCCATATATTTTATTAGTACTGTAGCGAGGAATATCGTTTGTTATACCGAGGACTTCGTTACATAGAGGTTCATTAAATCAAGGTTCCACTGTACAGTTATGTTTATTTCACTGTAATGCAAAATTTCTTACCTGTACTAGCTATATATGTGATGTACTACTTGTGATTGTATGAACACTTTTGCTTGCTTGCCATTATTGCTTATTAGTAATAGCGAATAAAGCAAAATTTTCACCTCTTCCTCCTGAACCTCCAAATCCAGCATTCATTCCACCAAAACTGACATTTGGACCCCAGCCAGGAAAACTTGCTGAAAAAATAATTTAAGGCTGTGCAATCTAAGTTTTCCAAACTGCAGTTTAATTTAGACCAAACAGTTTATTTCAGATGTTTACTGTTCAAGTGTAGGGGGTTAGAAAAATAGTGCGAGGTAATCCACTGAATGAATAATTACACTCCTCAAAAAAAAAAAGAAGCAAATAGCTTCCTTTCTAGTTCTTCTTCCCCCCCCCCCCCCCCCCCCCCAAAAATGTTCTAAAAGATTAAAGGATGTGGACTTTTTTAACATTTACATTTTTACATGGCAAAGGTTGCCCATTCTGCCATGGAGTGCTGCTGTAGGTGCATGTGATCAAGTTAATATAGTGCAAAGTAATACCGTGCTGTGCATGGTGCTCTTACAAAACAAAAATAATAATAAAAAAATAAAATTGTTAAATGTTAAAATGTGCCCGTAAGGCCTGTCAGAAAGGGGTCTCTGGTCTGAACTGGCGTATGTTGGATGGCAAGCTGTTGTATTCTGTTGTTGTTCTTCTTAAATTTTTAGACTCCTTAGATTTTTCTTAGCTCTCATATTATACTGACTTTGATTGAGATTTCTGTCCCAGTATATGAAGGACTTTGGGCGTAGACAGGTAATTCTTACCTCCAAAATTAGGCGTATTCTCTTCTGAATTCTTAGAGCGGCGAGACCCACCAGAGGCGATCATCTCTTGTTCTTCCTTCTTCCTCATTGTGGCTTGAGATTCAGCTTTCTTCACTTCACACTGCTTGAGTTTTATTTGATGAAAGCTGATCGAACATACGCTATCTACCACTTCTTCAGAGTCGAACGTGACAAAGGCAAAACCACGAAGGCGGTTCGGGTTTTCTTTGTCTCTCTTCAGATCCACATCCAACACCTTACCCTGACCAAATTTCGTGCACAACCCTGTGAAGTATTCTTCCACATCTTCTTCTGTAGCTGTGCTTGCTAGTCCACCAACAAAAATCTTGCGTGTTCTGGACTGAGCTTCTCCTTTGGGAACCGATCGCTTTGGTTCGATTTCCCAGTTATCAATCTCGTGGTGTTTAACTTTTAAGCAATCGTCCACAGCTTTAGCGTTGTCGAATGTCACAAATCCAAAGCCACGCGAGGGGCCGTTTTTTCCCTCGCGCATTATAACACAGTCTACGATATTTCCCCATGATGAAAAATACTCCTTTAAAGTTTCTTCAGTTGTACGACGGTTTAGGCCACCGACGAAGATTTTCCGAAGTTGTTCAGGCTCTGAAGACATGATTTCTTCTGTGGTCTTCTTTAGCACTTCAGCTGCCTCAACATGCTCAATGGCGGACGCGAAACGCTAATTAGTCTTGACCACGTGTTTGAAAAGTAACATTACCTTATATGGTCTTGCTTACAAACAAAACAAAAATGGCGGCCAGTTCTGACAGAGGTGAACATGAACTTGATTCAACCATATCTGTTAAAAGGAGGAAAACAGACCCTGAGAGTAATATTTGTGAGGAACTGCTGAAACTTGAAGAAGAGTTGTGTCAACAACTGTCCTCTCTCAATTTTCCCTCTCCGGTATCGTTCGTTTATAACCCACTTGAGTATGCCAAAGAAACCCACGAAGATTACGTTAGGAAGTACTGCAAGGTTGGACAAAATGTCCTCTTCCTGGGAATGAATCCCGGTCCATTTGGAATGGCACAAAACGGGGTGAGCTAAATTACTCTAAATTTGCTCTGTTTTGTCATCAACATTACCGTAATGATTGTGTTAACTCAGATGATAACACTCCCCTGACACTCTCCCCTGAACCTTCACCCTCCACTTCCCACCTCTCACCCTCCACTTCCCACCCCTCACCCTTCACTTCACACCTCTCACCCTCCACTTCCCACCTCTCACCCTCCACTTTCCACCCCTCATCCTCCACTTCCCATCCTTCATCCTCCACTTCCCACCCCTCATCCACCACTTCCCACCTCTCACCCTCCACTTCCCACCCCTCACCCTTCACTTCGCACCTCTCACCCTCCACTTCCCACCTCTCACCCTCCACTTTCCACCCCTCACCCTCCACTTCCCACCCCTCACCCTCCACTTCCCACCTCTCACCCTCCACTTCCCACCCCTCACCTTTCACTTGTCTCCCTCCACCCCTGCTTTAGATCTTGTTAGTCACATAGGTCACATGTTAAAAAGTGATTTTTTTGGGGGGGTGGGTGAATGTTTATAGGCTACAGAAAACAACATCTCCTTAATGGAATTGTTATCTGAAGGGATGAATGCATGCTGACTTGTAGATTCCAGTTGCTGACAGACAGGAGGGACTTCTTAATTCTGTTTTTTTTTTTAATAGGTGCCTTTTGGAGATACAGCACACGTCAAGGACTGGCTTAAAATTAAAGGATGTGTCAATAAACCCAAAAGAGAACATCCAAAAAGACTTATTCATGGCTTGGACTGTACAAGAACTGAAGTCAGTGGAGGTCGGCTTTGGGGTTTCTTCAAAGAACACAGCAAATCACCTGAGAATTTTTTCCACCAATGTTTCATTCATAACTATTGTCCCCTTGTGTTCATGACATCAAGCGGCAAAAACATTACTCCTCCTCAACTGCCCAAAGGTGAAAGACAACGACTGCTCAAACTTTGTGATAAATCTCTTGTAGATGTTGTGAAGTTAACTGATGTTAAGATTGTTGTGGGAGTTGGAAAGTTTGCAGAGGAAAGAGCTCGCAAAGCTTTAATTGACTGTGAAGTTGAAATTTTTTCAATAATGCATCCCAGCCCAGCCAGCCCAGCAGCTAATGCTGGGTGGAGTGACATTGTTTTGACACAGCTCACAGATTTGGGGCTCATGGGTTACATTAAGAATGAAAATAAAAGATAGGGCTGCACAACCTGGTGGCTTGTTTTTAAGGTTCCAAGTATTTACATGTACCTTATGAAAAATCCAGGTCTAACAAAGATGGCTGACGGTGTGCTCTGTTTGGAGTTTACTCATTAGAGCAGTAAAGAGTTGCAAAACACCCCAAACAAGAGAACTGCTGAAAGGCTGATGGACTTCCTGATTGTGTGTACTGTTTTGGTTGTAATGAAAATATATACTTTTGTTATATCACATTAAATTTTGTTGCCCAACAGAATCATCACATTCTGCCAATGCTATGGTGTTATTCTCTGCTTATGATACTCAAACAGTAAGGCTTTGCTCAAAAGGACTGCCATCAGTGAATCGTCAAACTCACAGCAATTTGCTACATGGGAGGCACACCTCCAGACTCCTCTCCACAGAGGGACACTTCCCTGTGACCTTCCCCAAATGCTGCCACGCCCTGCACTGAATGGGCAATGCTTAGGCTACCAGTACATTTCTAAGAATCAACAAATTTTGACTTGGCTCCCAGGCTTGGAGGAATTAACCAAAACAAATCACATCAAGGGTGAGGGATGAAAAATTTATTTCTTTTGTGTTATTCCCCCAAGCCTCAGAGCCAAGTTAGAATTTCCAATATAATTATTATTATCGAAATTGGCCTATTATGTAACAACCTGCTTAAATAAAAAAAAAAATTAACTGGAACACTGCATCATCTTTGAGACTCTGATTGTAGGAGTAAGACAGTGCTTCTTATATCTGGCTACAAAGTTACTAAGAGTAATTTTATTGCAATTCTCTTGCTGGGATCATGTGCATGTTTTCAGCACTGTAAATGGGAATTTGTGTCAGTTGTTTTATGACACTTAAATCTTAAATGGCCAGTCAGTGTTGTAAGGAATAACCAGTTCCACGAGGAATTGCTTATTATATCAGGGTTGCAGCACTTTATCATAACTAGTTATCACAAAAATTGATGCTAATGTTTTGTGGGCTTTTATTTCTCATTATGAAACTTTGTGAGCCTATGGTGATATTTACGCCACATGGTATGCTGATAAATAAATTTACTATTTGCCACCTCTCTCTTGATTTTCTGTACTGCTCAGCCAATCACACAGCAAAAAAGCAATTAGCGTGCAATTATTGCTTGTTTGTTGATATGATTATCATCATGAGATGCAGGGCAGGAAAAAAAAAATTGAAATCCAGTGGGCCAGTTCACTTCAGTCTTAAGTTGCCTCCACTAAAATATTATTTGCCCAATAGGTGCACAATGTTTATGCCTTATCAACTAACAAGACTACTGAGGTTAATTTCACTTGCCCACCGGACCACTAAACTTCCATTTTCACTTGCCCAAGAGCAAAATTTACTTGCCCCGGGCAATCTAACCTAGGTTTTTTCCTGCCCTGGGATGACTTGGAATTCAATACATTCCAGATTAATTTGGTGATGGACTTGCTAAGTACAGGGAAATGCAAAAAAAAGACAGTTGATGAATTTACACTTGTACAATGCAGTGTACAATTAATTTTCTAACAAAATTAATATAAATTCATACTACAAAAATTAAACTATGATATCTTGTTTTAAGTTTTATAGCTAATTTAAAGTACTTCAAACTATCTAAAAACAAGCAATGGATTAAAAAACTAAATTAATGGAACTGTGAAAAACTGCAGCATGTATTTATTTTTATGTGTAATAATTAAAATTATGTAAAATACCAGTACTAGTAAATATATTATTTAATATAAATTCGGGTCATTTAATTCATTTGAAACTGTACAGTGTAGGTACAAATAATTCCCAATTTCTTAACTACTTCATGTATCAACAACTAACTTGCCGAGTATTTAGCTTCTCTCTCACTCCTTACCCCTATGAATGGACACACGGGCTGTGTTAGGATAAAAACATACAGCCTATGTTAACCAACTAACCAGGGCTGTAGCTTGTATCAGGCAAACCAAGGCACTTGCCTCAGTCATTTTGTTCTTTGTTGTTTACAGTCATCAGAAACACCCTAAATACCAAGGAAGAGAATTTAACCTTGGACATTGCCTCAGTCAGAACGTTTTCATGGACATTACCTCAGTCAAAAGTTTCTTCTAGCTACAGCCCTGCTAACTGAATGCTTGGAAAAGGTCTAAAAACCTATGACAGTAAAAATCATAACAAACCATGACAATATTTTTTACTTTTATCAGTTATAACAAAGAAGATTATGTTCTATTCAAGAGCCATGTTTATTGACAAAGCATGGCTCTGCATTGTAAAACAACAGTAGTTTACCAAACTAAGAATTCTGGAAGTTGATTTAAATGCTAAAAATCATTTGCAAGTTCTTATTCTGCAAGATCAGACACAGGAAATTACCTCAGGCTAGTATTTTTATTTTTCTCCATTTGGGAAGGAAGAACTAAAAACAAGGTCATTTCATTTGAAGTTTGGTTTGCTTTAACACTCTACCATTACTTAACATAATAAATGTCTGTTCCTAGCTAGCTATTCTATTGCATTTGGGCTTTTTTACACTTACATTTATAATTATTTTAGATAAAAGAGCACTGCATATATTATTACAATTATAATTTTTATAATAATTATTATTATTATTATTTATTCCCTTCTGCCATTATGGAACTTGTGAAGAGGACTCAGATCAATCTGGATGCCAGACAAGTCAGTTGGGTTTTATCATTTTACATTTTCTTTCATCAGGACTCCTCCATACACTTGATTGCTCGCACCTCTGCAGCTATTGGTGCTTCCACCATGAGTTTGACACCAAACCATTTACTCTGGACCTACACATGAAGAGAACTATTATAAGGCAAAAGTCTTTCAAGAATGTTTTATGAACATGCATGAATTTGGTATTCTTTTTATTCTTTGTTTCTTAGTATAACAGTAGTTTTTGTAATAACTTTCTAGGAGAGAGTGGTTATCTAAATTTTAGTGTTGAACGTAGTCAGGCAAAATTACTTTCAATTGGTTCTGGTTTTACTGTGGTTTGAGATTGGCTGAGTAGTCTAATTGGTAAGTATTTCTAATCATTGGTTTTGGTTTTATGACAATTGAAAACTGCTCTATAGTAAGTATATCAGGTTGTCTGCAGATAATGATTGTGTTCAAATAAATGCTAATGTATTCTTTCAATACCTTTTCAAAGTGTTCCGATCTGAGTGCTGAGTATTCAGTCAATATTTCACGTAATTCTACTTCTTTTCTCCAGTCAAAGTGTGCTAGCTCAGATGACAAGTCTTTGCAAAGGAATTCAAGGCTTGTTTTGGCATCTGCACAGTTAGAATTTGCCTGAAATCAAAGCGAGGTAGGTCTAAAATTAAATACAGAGGAGAATCAAAAGTCTGGTTTATAGGTGCAGACAGGTGCTTCAAACCTGTAATTAATAATAGTGATGATCACTCTCCATAATGACAGTTGATTTCAAGCCAGGGCAAGTTTTGGCAAATTATCTAGTACACAATCCAGATTTCTCTCCTTTGTGAAAGTGAGTCCAGTTTTGCTTAATAACATATTACATGTGCATACATACAGGATTGCTCCACATGCCCTCCACGAATCAGTTTAAATTTTGTTTCAACCACCGCTAAGGGCACAGTCTGAAGATCGCTTTAAGCATGAAACTTGAGTAACTGTTTAGTTTCTATCTTGATTTGTACATGTGCATACATAAACTTTATTTCAGTGTGTAAAAGATTTAGAATTGAAGGCAAAGATACTACATGTACTCACCACAGCCCACTTCTGTGTTTGATCACTGCTATTATCTGCACTGTCTTCTGAAGATGGCTTCTGCAATTTATCAAATGATACATTCCTTTTACAGAGTTACGACTGATGTCATCACAGTTCCCATGAATGCAAAGGCCAGCCTTTGAGCTCCTCATGAACATCAAACTGACATCTCATTACTCTGACCTGGCCATTGAGAGATCAAGCTCACAGCCATTCACTGACCACTATTTAATAAGTGACGTTTTTTTTTATGTGTGACTAGAAGGCTACAAGTAGACTGCTTATTATGCAACTGCTTAACTCTGGTATTCATAGCATGAACGGACTGGAGCATCAATATTACCAGTTTACTGCAGCTGACGACACAGCATCTTGTCAGGATTCTCTGAAAATTTGTTGGTACTCGGGTAAAGAGAAGCAAATACGGAGTGAGAGTACCTTGCACTACAACACAACACAATGAGCCTAGCCAGCATTAACTCTGGACCACTCTGAAAATCAGAATCCGATGTGGTAACCTGCAGCTAACAACAACCACTACATAGTTCTGTTCTGAGAATTAAAATTTAGC